TTCAGAATAAACAGTAGGTAAGGGGTGGCTTTTTAATACTTACTGTCATGATTTTAAAGTATTTTGCAGTTTAACTCTTCATTATTTATATTATTATTTGTTTAGACTGAAAGTAAGGAGCATTGACTATTTCCAAGAATTGAGCTCTGTCTTGAACAAAAACCTGTGTGTACTTTTCATCCTTTGAACCTGTCGTTCAAATCTATATTGGGCGATGGAGAACGTGTGTAAAGTGTGAAGGAGCTGTTTCACTTCATGTGAAACTCCCAATATTTGTGTAACCAATGTGTTCCATGTGTAATACCCTTCTGAGAATGTCAGTTCTCCACACAGATTCAGTGGCCTTGGCCAAGGAAGGAGGTCAAGCAGACTTACTTGGCAGCCCCTCATCATCTTGGGACTGTTTGCTTGAGTCCAAGAGATTGAGGAACTGGCTTGCAAGTCACCTGGCTTCTCTCGTAACAGAAGGTGACAAAAGTACCATAAAAATGCTGGTTGTCCATAGAGAAACATCCTGAGAGATGAGTATGGCTAGTGAGAATTAATTCCTCTTTTCTCTGCACAACATCAGTGAGAAGCAGAACATAAGAGGGTTCTGTTTCATTGCTGCTGTCACAGTGTGACTGTGGAAAAAGGGCTGTCCAGGTGGTTGGGGTGGTGCATCTGACCCTTGCTTACCCATCAGAGGTGGAAAACTGAGCTAGATGGTAGAGCTCAGCTCAGGGCTGGAGTTGCCACATGCAAGTCAATCACTGGCTTTTATAACTCCATCAGCATGGTACCTGAATTTCTGTTCTATCCCGTTTTTAATGTGTGTGCATCTGTCCTGTAATTATATGATCTTTACTGTGTAAAAATGATATCCCTCCTATTTTCATGGAACTGGGTTTTGTATGAATAAAACTATTTTGCTAGAGTTGTTTCACAGGAATTTAAGTGGCTTAGAGGAATAGAAACTGAAAGGGCTTAAATAGTCTTAAAATGTCTCATTCTGAAGTTTTGGAACAAAAAGTATAGTCTTTTTTCATACTGAAATTTTTTTACACTTGGGTTTTGAATTCTGACTTGGAAAAATCAAGCTGCTTGCTTCATCAGAGTAATTTATACAAAACTTGTTCTTTGGATGACATGGGGGTACTTAGTAGAGACATTTACATCCTCAGCAAAGCCTGTACAGCTGAGGAAACACTCTTCCTCACATGTTCACCTTTTTGTTCCAGACTAAAAAGACAGGAGGTGAGAGCTATGGCTCTTGCCTGTCCAATGTGTTTTATGCTGCAGGAGCCTGATAAAATGTTCCTTCCCCTTTCACTTTGCAAAATAGAAGTGCTGAGCACTTCTTGTTCTTTTTCAGTAAATCCACAATGAAACGCTGAAGGTTGCGTTTGATTGTACTGTATTTTTTCACAAATGTTTTGACTTCATTTTGGGAACCTCACTGTTGTTTAAAGAAAATCTGTCAAGCAGTTTGGGTACATCTAATCATAAATGAGAATTAAGGGGCTGTGTTTTAGATAGATTTCAAGAAACTCTTGTTGGGTTTCTTTCCATTCCAGGCAGCCCTGAAGGCAGTGTGTATGCGTGGGGTGCGCGTTGGTGGCATTTGTTCTGTTTTTAATTATGAAACTTGTGAAATGGAGCATTTGACTTTATTTCTCTACTGGTTAAAAAAAAAGGGGGGGGGGGGGAGGGTCTCACAGTGTGTAAATCAGTCAATGGATCTTGCTACCACAGCAAAATACTGAGGCTAAGGATTATGTAGTAGTTCCTCAAAAGGTGGAGTTTTGTTTAACTGCCATGTCCAGGGCTAATACAGATGGATCTGGAAGAGGGTACTAGACCTCATGGGATTTTTAGGTTTAACTTGTCTCTCTGATATTTCAAGCCTGCATGGGCACAGATTTACGGTGCGATGCCACTCTTCTGATTTCTGTGAAACTTGCATCTGGCATTGGGTTGTGGGCACTCTGGACAAAACAGGTTGTTGGTTTCATCCAGTTTGGTGGTTTTCATGTTACACTTTAAATAAGGTTCCCCATTTTGCATTTGAGGCTTTTTTCCCTATGACTGACTGCATGTGATTTCAGTGATGAATACACAAACCTCTGGGGTTTTCGGTGCACAGGTATATATGTATGTACAGTTTACTTATGTCAAAAGGCAGCCTTGCTGCCAGGTGAGCTGTTCTGTTTTGCACTTAGAAGCAAAATGTACTGTTTCAATGCAAGTGACCTATTTTCATTACAAAAGAGTAAATGCTCACAGCAACAGTGATGGGAGAATAGCTTGAGACAACTAGTCTGAAGTGGGTTTGTGTAAGCAGTTTGGTTAACAAACATTTTAGAAAAGTTTATTTTGTTGATGCATAACTTGCAGATACTAGAAGAGAAGCATTGGTAAGGTGCAGCCTGACTCTGCAGCTTGGAGTGAAATTGGTTTGGTTGTCACATATGTCTTTGTACCAGTTTACAGAGGAGCATGGTTTCCACCTCCATGTTTTTAAGATGGTTTTTTTCCTTTGTGAAAGGGGGATGGCTGGAGGGACTGGCCAGCTCGGATATGAGAGTGGATCAGAATTTGTAAAAGATCTTTGCTTTCTTTTCATCCTGACTCATTTCTGCTTTTGTTGGCAATCTCCTCCTGTTAATTGCCCTAACTTGCTCTGTGGGCTCATGTATATGCTTCAGTTACTTGTGGTAATTTTTCATTGCTCTGCTTTTAAAGCATCAAAGATTGCACAGCCAATGGCTCTTGCTAATACAAATGTAAATGTATTTCTTTCTTGGCTTGCTGCACCATACGTGCACTTGTTAAATTTTCTTTTCATTAGCTTGTATGACATGTTTTTGGTATTAGAATCAGTACTACATGGATTTTATTTGTGAAAATGGAATAACTGTAGTTTATTATTCTGCCCTTTTCAAGGGTAGTAGTCAGTGTCCAGCTTTATAAGCTGATGTTTTTTTTTCCATTTGTTGCTCATGGCCTCTTATACCTGACTGCTGTTGCCAGTTGTTCTCTGTGTTGCATTTTTTTAACCTCATTGGTGCTTCTCTGTGTTGTCTGCATGGATAATATAAATATTGCAGAGCTCTATGCCTCTCACTGCTTTTTTCAGTAGCTATTTTTATAAGGATTCCATTATATATCCTTCCAAAAGAAATTCTGTTCAAATGGTGGTTATAGGCTTGAAGGAAAACTTCCTAAGGTTTGAAAAGACAAGATGTTCAGAACAGACTTTCTTCTTAACACTTTCGCTGCAGTGTTTTGAAGTCTTTATAGTTCTGTGGTTTAGTCTTGGTGAGTGTGATGGTGGTGGTATTTTTAAAGAAAGAATATGTGACATTTGGAAAAATTAATTGCATAGTAATGCAGGTACAAAAGACTGAGTTATGAAAAATGTGATGATGCTTTAATATGTCCATACAGCATTAGGAATTCATACCTGGTGGCAGTACAGTAAAAGTATATGAAAAAGGGATGTAAACTTAGCAAATTCAGCATCATTTGAATTTCATTCATTTTAATGTTTAATCCAGATTAGCAGATGGAGGAACAAACAAACAACAGCAAAAAAGGAATTGGGTTACTTTTAATTATGTAACTTTCCTGAAAAGCTTATTTTTTTTCCCCATGCAGCTGTCTGATCAGTGGCAAAATTCATAACAGCTCCCAAAGTATTTAAGATCTCTGTTAATTGGAGTTCCACCTCTTGATGAAAAATGGTTCTTTTGTTAGCTGTTTTGCATATGAAAGATGAAGACAACCATTTTTCTCATGAGATTAAAAAATAAATTAATTAGAATGAAATAATTTTCTAAACTTAAGGGAATTAATAACAAACAAAGCTTCTGGAGTAGCTAGCATTTATTTTGCAACTCGCAAGTATAACGTAACATAAAAGGAAGACTTTATTCAAGCACATTTATTCCATGATAGTTTAAAAGCCATAATCAGCTATATTGCTAAAGCAGTGTAGATATTTTGGTTATTAAGTATATTTTGCTGCTTCTGATTTCAGATGTAGAAATAGACTTACTGAGATTTGGGGGAAGAAGAGAATGGAAATTTGTGCTGGAAGTGCTAAAGCTGCTTGGGGATATTGCCGTCAAACCCCTGCTTTGAAAACAGAGGGAATGGTGAATTGATGGGCTCTGTATTTTGTAATGATATGGAGCAAGAGCTTGAGGAATTTGGTTTGTGTTGAACGGCATTGCCAAAACAAATAAATTCATTCTTGTCTATTTCTGTGCCATTTGCCATCCTTGCTTTGCTATGGGTGTGTGTGAGATGCCCCCAGTATCAGTGGCTTGCACTCCAAGGGTAGAACTCTCAGGCACTACGGTTAGAAACCCCACTAAGAGTTGCCATCCAATCAGTTAAAACCCCCCAGAGTAACTGAGGAAAATTTTCACAAGCTGTTTGGATTTGCCACTGAGTTTGCCCTTTGGCTAGTATTGAAAAGTGTTGAGCTTTAACCATGCACATGTGACGGTGGTGTGCAGCAGTTCCCAGGCTAGTTCTCAAACAGCTGCCTGAGGACTCTGGGAGCACTATCTTCCGATTGCTCAGCAGAGGGTGGGTTTTGGGGTATGATTTGGTTTTATTTTGGTGGCTTTTTTTTTTTTTTTAATGTTTTCTTTTGTTTTCCTTTGCAAAAGTAGTTTTAAGATGCTCTTGTTGCCCTTGTACCAGTGAACTGTCAGGTAGCTGGTGAAGACACTTGTATGGTTGCATTGTAAATGAGATCCTGGTGATACTTTCTTTTTGAAGGATTGGAGCTTGTCAAGGAGAGATGAGGGCTACCAGAGAAAATGTCATTGAACCATAATCTCACTGAGGCTAGTTAGATGACGCAGTGCTGTGCTAGTAAAGTTATGCTATGTCTGGCTCTAAAAGCAGAGTTTCTGCACAGAAGAGCATGGGAAGCATCATTGTGCCAAGTGTTGACTCAGGTGTATTGTGGCAGGTGAGTGCTACTAATCTGCCTTAAAAGTTTCTTGCTAGCTTTGGCAGCACATATACTAAAATTGGAATGATACAGAGAAGGTTAGTATGGCCTCTGTGAGAGGGTGATATGCAAATTTGTGAAGCCTTCCATCCAGAAAGTACGGTAGTGGCTTAACCCCAGGTGGTAACTAAGTACCATGCAGCTGCTCATGCACTCCCGTGTCCCCCACAGTAGGACAACGAGCAGAATCAGGGGAAAAAAGGTAAAACCCGTGGGCTGAGATAAGAACAGTTTAATAATTGAAGTAAAACTTAGTAGTAGTAATAATAATTATAATGAAAAGGGGAGAGAGAGAGAAGAATAAGCCCCAAGAAGAAAAGCCAAGTGATGTACAGTACAGTTGCTCACCACCCACTGACTAATGCCCAGCCCATCCTGAGGGCAGTGATCTGCCCTTCCAGGTGACTAGCCCCAGTTTATATACTGGGCATGATGTGCTGTGGTATGGAATACCCCTTTGGCTAGTTTAGGTCAGGTGTGCTGTCTCTGCTCCTTCCCAGCTTTCTGTGCCCCACCTCACTGACAGAGCATGAGAGATTGAAAAGTCCTTGATCAGGGTAAGCGCTACTAAGCAACAACTGAAACGTTGGTGTGTTACTAGCATTGTACTCAGACTAAAGCCAAAACAGCACTGCACCAGCTACTAGGAAGAAAAATAGATTATCTCAGCTGAAAGGAGGGCACTTGCAAACTTGTGTTCTGAAGTCACTTACATGCTATAGTAAAGTTTTGCAGTGCTGGGTAAAGCAACAGCTGGGGAAAGAGGTGCTGCACCTCAGCTTTGTGATTCTTTGCACTTCACAAGCTTGGTGAGAGAGGGTGATTCACATGGCACAGTTCAGCCATCTGCTGCTCCTCTCAGCTTGTGCTCTAAAGCAACAGTAGTAGGGCAGCCTGGGCTGGCATAGGAGTTTGGGCTGCACCAAGACAGGCAAAACTCTACACAGGGATTGTGACCTGGGGATAGGGGAGAGGGGATTGGCAACAGGCACATCTTCACTTGCTGTCTTCTGATTTCTAATTTTCAAACTGTTAAGATAGAAAAGGCAGTTGCTTGTATGCTGTAAACAGGTTAACAGTATCCCTCTGTGAATGCAGGTGCTTGATTTTCACAGGGATGTCTCTCTGGTTCTCTTGTATTGCTGTTGTGAACAGACTTTGACACTTGGATGGAAAACTTGTCATTTTAATAGTGTATGAGAAGGAAACAAGTACACAGACTGGCTTATCATTCCTTGGTCACTGACCAGGCGCAAATAATGAACTTATTAGACTGAATTAATCTCTTAAAGGAAATGGTCTGAAATCCATCTGGTAGAGTGCTGAAAAGCAGACTCAATAAAATCCTAGAAAATTGACTGTAGGAAGGAGTTTTCTGTTGGCAGAAAGCTGAATTGGATTACCTGAGGAGAGTCCTCTGTCTGAAATTTCTGACGCAAAACCAAACAGAAATAAGTGATGAATCCTGAGCATAAAGTTTGCAAACAGTGGTTTTGAGAGATGGAGGATTTAAATGCACTTGTACTAGCTGTATCTGCTGTATCTTCTGTAACAGAATTCCCTCAGCAGGGTGTCACATGGGGGATGGCTTTAGTGTGGTGGGGGAGCCTGGCACTCAGAGGACGGTAATATGCACAGAGCTAAGCATTCTTATTACACATCTTAATTCAACAGCCACTGAGAAGCTGCCTGATCTAAAGTGATGGGGCAAACAAAGAAATACCACTGGTAATTTCAGCTCTGTGTTCAAACCTGCCTTTTGGTTTCTGTAACTGGAGATAAACGACGGTTCTTACCGTCTGGCCGTTGTGTACCCATACCGCTTCTAGAGGGTACTTGCAGTAACAGAGCATGCTTTTTTTTCTGCAGTGGTAGATGCTGGCTGAGTGTACCAGAGAGCGTCCCTTTTTAAACAGAAGCCTTTGGTGTTGCCTCTTTGCATTAGCGGTGGATTCCCTAAATCTAGTGAGACCCTGTGTGTGCTGGCTTCTGCAGGAATCTCAGCACCTGACAGCCTGTCTCTTAATGATGCTCCACAAGAAGTTGATCTTTCAAGAGAGTGAGGCTAGTTGTATCTTTTTCCTTTTTTGTAATGCTAATATGTTCTTCATAGCACGCCTGCTTGCAGATGCATAAGGATGTGCAGTAGTGAATGAGGGTGTGGATGTAGTCACAATTGTGTTTAAACTCTAGAGCACTCCTTGGGGATATGATGGAAGCAATACCTATTTCATCAGATGGAGTTTCTTGTGTTGTCCTTTAGTGTCAGGACAGCAGAAGACACTACAATATCTAAGTGTCAGATTTTTATGTAGACTCTTGGTGATGCAGTCCTACCAGTCTGAAAAACTTTTGAAGCTTTTGGTGTATGCTGTGTGACTCAGAACTCAAGGTTAGCATTGAGTTTGCTGGAAAAGAGCATCCTTCGGAAATAAGGTTTTTGTCATTTTGTTTAAATGCACTTGCTAGACTGAAGTTTCCAATTACAGAAAAGCTAATTTTGCTTCCAAGTCTGGCTCCGAAATGGTCAACACTGATAGTCCCTCAGTAAGAGAAGCCATTGTTCCTTTTTGGCACTACCTGCAAATACAGTCATTAACTGTAAAGTAGCATGCTTTCTTAAATCTCCTCTTTGGTCATTATTCTTCAGGGGATTGTATTGTGGAACATTCCTGAAACAGAGGCTGTCATTTCACCACCCTGACTGGGTCCTGTCCCTGGTGGTAGCATTGCTGCAGTGCTGGAGGTGGGGTGTGCAGGGTTATCCTTTGCTTCCCTCCTTCTGCCTGCTGCCATTGAAGCTTGAGACACACTTGGCACTGCTGCTGCTGCCCCATGTGCCCAGCTGGCAGGGTTTGGCTGGGGCACAGTGTGCAGCTTGCACCCCAGCTCTCCAGCCAGCAAACTTGTGGAACTCCTTGAGCAACAGTGAAGCAGATCTTTAGCTCTGCGAAATCCTGCTGCTCATGCTGTGCAATTTAAAGGCAAAATGCTTCCTGCTAATTATTAACAGTTACTCTGTAGGAACAGACTCATTACGGGGCACTGAACCCTGGCCCGCCGTCCCTTTCAGCACCTGAACAATGCAAGAGGGAGGGGGGGGGGGGGGAGGAAGAAAATGGAGTGCTGGCACCAATTAGTCCTGAGATTAGTCCTGAAAGAGGATTGCAAAATCAAGGCCAAAAAGAGTAGGGAGTGGGTAAAAGGATTTGAAATGAGATTATAGGGCCTAAAAGCGCCTTTCTTTTGTTAGGGAAATAATTCAGCAGTTTTACTCAAGCCAGTGAGACAATCTAGTTCAGTGGCTGAAGTAGGAGATGTATGTCCTGTTCTTTTTAAGGTTTTTAACTAAGTTGATCCCTGGTTGCATTTATTAGTTGCTTCCTGCAAAATCAAAGTGTTTTCAACAAACAAACAAAAACAGAGGAAAGCTACTGCCTTATCAAAAGGCCTGTTGTTTTTCAGGAAACTTATTGGTATTCTTTAAAAGGAGAGCCAAGGAAAGGAGGCAGATTGAGCTCTCTTTCTTACTTTGGGGAAACTTTTTTCCTGGTGGTTACTATGACATTGGCACCGGAGTCACCCTTTCACCACCCATCCTACAGATGAGTTTCAGTGCTGGTTTTTGTTTGTTTGTCTGCTCAGAGATGCAAATCAAGCAGTTCCCACTTCAATTAAAAGCACTGTCTCCTGTCAGTGCTATAGTGGTGTATGTTGTTCTCTTCCTCCTTGACGGAAGTGAACACTAAGCCTTGCTGCCCTGCTGAAGAGACTATGATATACACCTATGTAAATAGTATTCGTGTCTGGGGCTGAAGAGTGGAGTTTGCTTGGAGACAGCAGAAAGAGTGGTCTTCCCCCTCCCTCTGCCTCCAGAAGGAGAATTATGAAAGGGAGAATTACTGAAGAGAATTACAAACATTGTGGCTTAAATAGGAAATGTTTCGGTTTAGTATATTCATGCAAGACTGCAGGAAATTATGACTTTCTTTCTGCCCTTCTGAAGATGGAATGGTTTCTCTTGAGGTGACTTAGAAAGTGTGAGGAATCATGAATGTGTCTATTACCAGTTGGTTTTTCAATAGAACTTGTCAGTGTGAAACACCTATGTAGGCATGCTTGAAAGCCTTGCTTTCAGTTCGCTATGCCCACAAGTTTAGGGGAATTACTCAGCATGAAGAAGGGGTGAGTTCTGCCATGCTCTTGGATTTCCCTTACTGCTGCATTTCACATGAGCCCTTGTTAAACCTGCTTTTATAGGCAAATGCTTAAAGCTGTCTTCAAGTGTGGCACTGAGAGGTTAGCAGGCATCATCTTGCCACCCAGACTGGTGTAGCCTAAGTAATGGGCAAGATTGCATTACATGGGAAATATGCTGTTTGAGAAAAGCGTCTTTTGATAGAGGGGCCCATTTTTTCTCTAGACAAAAACATTAAAGTGGGATATTCTGCATACTGTTCTTGGAGTTGCGTTGTTCTCTTTGGACTTGTTTATAAATAAGTGCTTTAATTCCTGTCCAAAGCACCTGTTAAATGCTAAATTTTCCCCTGTTTTGGTTTTTATTCCATTACACTACTCTAATACAATCTAGTGAATCTGACTTGCTGCTTTCTAGCCTTCAAAAATTTGTTCTACAGTTCCTCCAAGAAAACAAGGAGACACCAAGAGACGAGCTGTCAGCAGTTTCCATGCAAATTGGTGAAGAAACACAAGCTCTCATCATGTCTATGGGACTTGTGTAAATGGCTTTACTAAGGCTTTAGTTGTGAAGTTGTCCCATGCTGAGATGGAAAGGCTTCACAAGACGGTCATAAACTTTCTGAAATAGAATAAAAACAATAACAAAACCCAGAAGGGATTCAGCAGAGGAGTTTATGTGGAGGAGGGGTTGGCAATGACAGAGGAATAGCAAGTCCTCTTAAGAGTAGGACAGAAGAACAGTTTGAAAAGGGTGAAGAGTGCAATGAGATGTCCACAGTTTCTGCTTATGGCATCCAAGTCCTGCTTTACTTCAAGTCATGTTTCTCTATGACCTAGAATTCAGGTGCAGGGTCTTCTAAAAAGGAGTTGTTGGTTGAGCATGTTCCAGTTGAACT